CATCCGCTACATTTTTTCGTCAAAGTTCGAAACTTAGAGCCAGTGGACAAGCTAGCAAAGGCGACGCCCGTAGCGACGCAGGTAACCAGCCTGAAGTCTTAGGACCTACGACATCGGTACAAAGAGCGAGAGGCCTCTAAGTAGACAATCGTGTTGTAACCAAACTACGAGAACCAGCACGAGTGTTGTACTGTAAGAACTTACGTTATGTCTGATTACAGGGTGTCACGTTAATTGACACTAGTCGTTGCGACATATAAAGTTACCCGAGGTATATACACCGTAATTTTCGGACTATAAGCCGCACCTGAATATAAGCCGCAGCAGCGGCATACCACTCTCGGTTCCACTTTTACTTTTGCGCGCTACCTGTCTCACTCTTTTCCGGCCTCCAGCTTTTCCTGCTGGAACCCGCCGCTTAAAGGTGGGGGTCCGCGGACCGGCCATAGAGCCCATAGAGTTAAAGGTGTTGGCCGTTAGCTGTAAAAATCCATAGATTAGCCGCACCGTTATATAAACCGCAGCGTCGAAAAATAGGGGAAAAGGCGCGGCTTATAGTCCGAAAATTACGGTATATACATATACATCAATAAGAACTATAGCAGGATGGAAATCTGTACCCTCTTCTCCACTCTGCTCTTATGTTCTCATTTATTTTCTACATCAGTGGTGGAGATTTGAATATTGAAGACAAAAGAAATAGTATTTTGCCTTGAGTGTACTCTGTACCAATCGGTGCTTAGGTCTCAGAGGCCACACATAAACCCAGAAGGATCTTCTTTCCCAGTCTTGAATACACTGAAAGAAGTATCTTTCACCTACTTCAAAACGTGTTCCCAAGGGTGTAGCCCAGTGTTTATCTGTGTCAGGCCCACCCTGAGAGCCCTGGGAGAAAAACAACACCTTGTGTGGTAGCTGAGATAAGTCTTGTTGTCACAGTCAAATCTAATGAATAACCACTGATTGAACTTAACACTTAAATTGAAATGTTATTAAACCAATTTCAAAGAAGTGCAGCAGTGAATAAATGTGAAGCACACAGAAAAGAGTAACTGTTGTTACCATCAAACCTCAGGGTTACCTTCTTAAAGACCTCTACGACGGAGGCTTTGGCCTGCCCCTTCTCCTCCTGCTCCAGCGACAGGAAGGCGGGCTTGGGCCGTTCTGTCCCGGGGTCTCCCTCCACCTCAGCCCCCCCCTCTGGGCTACTGCTGGTCGCTGTGCCGTTAGCATGGCCGTTCAGCTTGCCATTCTCCACTGTGCTGCTCTCTGAAATTCAACATTTAAAAAGATGTATTTCACTGTTCCATTACCACATAAAATGGTTGTTGTTCATAATGTATTGGGAGGAAATAGATCAAATATGACATGGGCATTTGTGAATTATTAGTTTTTGAGCAAGAACCACAGTGTGGGCCTCTTTGAGTGAGGCACTCTTTGTCTGCCAGGACTCTAAATTGGATAAATGGAAGGACAACTCACTTAACGAGATAATGTCCACTGAATGGGTTTCATTCAACCAGACAGTGAGGCACAGAATCATGGACTAAGTCGCAAAGCAAACGAGTTCTCTCACTGTCAGACAAACGTTTCCTTATCTCGATTCTACAAACAAAATGAGCTTGCACTTTAAAATTGGAACAGATGATGAAAGGTTCAGAGGGTGTGAAAAAGAGTTTGTTGAAGCCAAAATCCCACCTTTCAGCAACTCGTCCGTGGCGCCTGCCTCATACTTGACGCTTTTGTTCAGATAATGCTGGGCAAACTCCTGTGTGGAAGCAACAGACAGCAAACATGTGAACTCACAGCTAAAATAAAACATGGAAACAAGTAAAAACATCGATAGGACAAACATTAGAGTAGATGTCCCTCAGATACTCCTGTTTTACATATTTGATAATGAGCTATTTAGCTTTATTTAAATGTGTGCTGAATTTTTTACAGAATTGTTTCCCAATAAATGAAGCAAACACTTTCTTAAAAAGCCTGGTTGTGTATTTACAAATCATGGTTCAACAAAAGAGACGATAGCTTAGTTAAGGTAAGATTGAGTGCATTGTGGGTAATGTATTGCTGAGTTTGGAACTGACCAGGCGGGGCAGCAAGACGTAGCTGCCCAGCGTGACCAGCGTCCCGACACATGGGGTGATGAAGTAACCCAACGCTGCCGTCTCAGAGTCCGCGTCGCCTGAGTGACAAACGTAAAGAGAGCCGATTAGGAATTCTGGGAGAGAGAAGCATGCGCCGTGTCTTTGAAATGAAGCAGAGTGTGCTGTGTGGTGTCACGCTGATTTGACAGCCGCTTTGAATGTCTTCTGCTACTAAGCAACTGGGGATTTGGCACCAGGGGGAGTTGTGTGTGTGTGTGTGTGTGTGTGTGTGTGTGTGTGTGTGTGTGTGTGTGTGTGTGTGTGTGTGTGTGTGTGTGTGTGTGTGTGTGTGTGTGTGTCTAGACCAGAGCCCTCAGGGGGAAGGACAGGGCGGCTCCTATGGACAGACCGAGGGCCAAGAAGAAGGTCATCAGGGCTCCAGCAGTCTCTCCGTCCTTCTTATCCACCAGCCTGAAGACGGAGGAACACAGGGTCAGACATGATCACCACACTGGGGCTTTTGTTGAGGCTCAGCTTGTTGTTTGTGTCGCAGGTACGCAATGTTGCTATGGTGATGGAGCTCAAACAGAAGTGATTTTGGACACACCTTGTTGGTGCGTTCAAGGGGACTCAGAGATGTATTAGTTGGCTGCTGCTTTATGGGTTACATTTTAAGTTAGAACCATTACCGTCCAACATGTTGAAATCATCTTTGGCTTTACTACACGACTTACAAATAAAATTGTATAAAAATAAACAAAAATACAAACATATGGAAAGCTTATATGCATTTAAATACAGTTCAATTAAGCCAATTCAGCCTAGGGTGGATTAAAAAAAGGTATCCAGCAATGAAGTTTCAGGCAGGGGGGAACACATGGATGTCAGCCTTTGCAGAAACCTATACAGAACCACACACACCTATACAACACACTACAGGGAAGGGAAAAGCCCAAAAAGCACAACAGGGCCTCTTAAATAAACGTGTTGGTATTCAGTACGTCTGCCTTCGCTTCTTTGTTTCCCTATCATTTCCCTGGACATTTGAATGCCTCCATATTTTACATTCAAATCTCCGTAGGGTCCATGTCCTAAAACAACAAGCTTTCCTGCAGACTCCTGCAAACCATTTCCAGAATATTCTGACACTGCGGAGGTCTTTACACTTCCTGAGTACATTTAAGGTTATAATTCTTAAGCTGTTAATGACACCTTACCTCTCTGTAAAGAAGTTCAAGTTGCTTGTTCTAACTCACTGGTCTTAACTGTTGACTGTCCTACAGCTGTATTCACTTACAGCTTTGTAACCCGACCTTTTCACATTCAGGCATTCAGCGTCAAGAAATAGGCCAGTGTGTCTTGGCACAATGAGCTGGATGTGTGCCTGTAATGATATGAAACTTCTTAAAATCATAAGCTACAAACATTTACAGGAGTAGTAAGAATGGTTTAAGTGGGGATCAATTGGTGGAGTATTATATATGGTTTTATTCTGTATGTTTTTAATATTTAGTTTCCACTTGAGTTAATGTTAGTTATTTTAATGCACATTCTTTTTGTAAAATCTCCATTAAGGAACAAAAAACAACGACTTGTATGACAACATGGTGCAGTGTCATAAAGCATTGTTAATGTCTGCAAACAAAACTTAGCTCCGTTTAAAAGTCTCTTATTGGGTGCATTACATTTGTAACTATATTATTAAGCTTCATACATTGAAAACCTCTTAGGTTGGAGCATCCTTGAACATAACATGATGAGTTGAAACAACAAACAGTCAACATACTGTAGTTGGGTATGCTGCAAAACCAACATTTGACACAGCAGTATTAGGTATGATGTGGCAACATTAAACCAGAACCAAAAGATGAGACACATAAGATAAGAATAAATGGTATAAAAACATATATGAGAGTTATTATAGTTGTGCAGTTGTAGCTATGGACGAGTATTGACATGTGTGTTTTTAATGTCACATCTATGCATGAAACATTCAGTAGTTTGGACTCACTGAGGAGCGTAGGACATGGACAGGCAGACGAAGTATCCGCTGGACAGAGAGAAGAGCGTCATGATGATGGCGAAGGCAGCGTCGTGGCTGAAGAAGACGGGCAGGAAGGAGCGGTTCTGGACGTTACAGAGCATCAGCAGCGGGACGAACACCACCCTACAGACCACGAGCAGCGGGAACAGACGAGACTCCTTAGCGGGCTGCGAGGAGACAGGTGGGAGGAGATGAAGGGGTTAAAAGCTTTTAATGACATCAGGTAGAAAGAGGAAGGGCGGGAAGTAGATTTGAAACAGTTGGGGATGTTTTTAAAAAGAATAAGAGAGGGAAAGGCAATATATCTTACAGTTCATTCTAAACTATCACATTCCTGCGTGTGCAATATTTAGAAATGTCAGCAGGGAGTGACACACACACAGTTTCCATTGTAAACAATGCTTTGTGACGTATTGTAACTCAAATGACATATATAAAGAGTAGAATTGTTTTATTAGATACTTACCCAACATATGAAAGTGGTGACGGTCCGACCGAACCAGTCGTTGAGGTTGAAAATCAAGAAGCAGCACACTGAGATGAAGAAGCGCTCTGAGGGGAGAACAAGCATCAGGAGGAATAGATGTAATCATCTCACAAGAGATAAACTGTTAATACACAAGTATAGATATCCAGTAGTTGAGCAGAGATCTGACTGGAAATACCCCATTTTCCTGGGAAGGAGGTCCTGACATCTACAGTGACAGCGGGGAAGACGGACAGAGTGACCGTGAACACAAACGTCACGCAGAACGCCATCACCCAGATCTAAACCAAAGAAAACAGACAAAATATTTCATACACTTAATGGGACTTAGATGCTTTGATTCTAAACAAAGACTAATAAATAATAATTTATTGTGTTATGTCACAACTGAACCCTAAAGAAAACTTTCTTTTGTAAATAGAACTAACCTAGTTGTAATATTATAATAATGTATATTTGATATATAAGGGAATAATATATACATAGAATATACATGAAAAAAGACTGCTTTAACAATGTGAACATTATTATTATTAAAAGTAAAAAAAAGTGATACAAAAATGTATGTAATGGATAGAATCCTCAAGACATGATAAAACATATTTTNTGCCCGAACCACCTCAACTGGCTCCTTTCGACGCGAAGGAGGAGCGGTTCAACTCCGAGTCCCTCCCTGATGACCGAACTTCTCACCTTATCCCTAAGGGAGACCCCTTAGGGATAAGGTGAGAAGTTCGGTCATCAGGGAGGGACTCGGAGTTGAACCGCTCCTCCTTCGCGTCGAAAGGAGCCAGTTGAGGTGGTTCGGGCACCTAGTTAGGATGCCACCTGGGCGCCTCCCTAGGGAAGTGTTCCAGGCACGTCCAGCTGGGAAGAGACCAAGGGGTAGACCTAGAACCAGATGGAGGGATTATATCTCTTCTCTGGCCTGGGAGCGCCTTGGGATCCCCCAGTCAGAGCTGGTTGATGTGGCCAGGGAAAAGAAAGTTTGGGGCTCTCTGCTGGAACTGCTACCTCCACGACCCGACCACGGATAAGCGGGAGAAGATGGATGGAAACATGCATTTATATTTGACTTGATGGTTTACAGCAAACAACTAAGGCAATGTAAGCCCAAAATAGACAAACACATCTGCAGGTGATGAAGAACATCTTTCAGTAGGAAGTGAGGTGAACCATATTTCTGACAGAATGTGAATGCAGCATCAGTTTTTGGGATGGAGAACTCGGACCATGATTTAACCCCGGGATCCTTATGTGTAGTTCAAAGACATAGCCCAAGCGTCTTTGAACACTCGGAAAAGTGCTATACAAATCCTATGTATTATAAGAAACAAACAGTTTTCCCTTCTACTTCTACACTTGACGAATGTAGGTTTTTGGAGTTACCTGGAAAATAATACAACAGTGATAATCAGCTTTAATAATAATAATGAAACCCAGTTTTATGTTGTGTTCACATCATATTGGCTGTAAATACTGCTGTCTGCCTCTTTTGTAGTGTGTGTGTGCTTGTGCTGCTAATTCCAGATGTGCTAACATGGAGCACAGAACAGTCCTCTAACAGAAGCAACACCAGAGTAATCTTTGGTCCATGCATCCAAAACATGTCATTCAAATGTGTTTTCTCTGGTGTTGGGGAGGGGGCACATCCTTAACACTGCTGTCATGTGATCCATTATGTGCAGCTGACTTGTGCTCCATACAGACAGAGGATCATCAGTAAAGGGAATCCATGCATGTGCATCATGTTTCTTTATAGATCTGACTGTCAATAAATGGATGCTTTCAACTAGTGTTTGTTGGAAATGGTCATTTGTATGCTGTTAAATGGGGTATAAGATCAAACCTTTGAATCTGAAATGCTCAAACTATTTATTCTTCTTCATGAGTCATTTTTTTTTAATTACCTGTGGACATGTACTTTGTTAAAGAGGCCCAATAAGGATTTTTGGGGTATTTCCTTTCCAGTAGTGTGTTTATATGGTTTTTATGTAAATGTTCTGCAAAGGCTAAAATCCCTGTGTTCCCTCCAGAGGGAGTTTCTCTCCCACACACTTCCCGCCCGACACGCCTCCACTGGACTCTTCTGTAATATCACATCACTGTGTTACACTCACGCTTCTATTGGCTAGGCAGAGAAAACCCCAGAGAGCATAATAGGACCTTTTGAATTGTCTTGTATGAAGTCTTCTTGATTTAACTGGTCTTCTATTTGGAAAGGCGATATGGCTGGCTCAGTGCTGATCGATGATATTTGAATTAGTTCAGTAACCAATCTTAATAGACAAACATGTCAATATTTATTATTTTTGATTTGCACATCTAAATTGATAAATCATCACAATACCTTCTGTAAAATAGAGATGCACCAATAGCAATATCAGACATATGGGCACAAAAGTACATTTAAAATTAAGTTTAGTCAAAGTAATTTTTTGTTGCCAATTAAAATAATCCAAAATCAACCATTAGCCTGAATAAAATGATCTGGATTTGTACAGCTGCCACAGATTTACTTGGCAAAAAAATATGTTGCTTCCTTGTGCTATTTGCATTTCATGTGTCACGTTTCAGCTTTCAAATGAGCTCCCTGGAGAAGTGATTTAACTGGAATAACCACACAGAACATTGAGAAGTATTCATTTCCTGTATTATTTATTGAAAACCCAGCAGTCGTCATTAATACCTGTTGTGTCCGGGGGGGGGGGG